GCGCTTCCCAAGCGGCGCACTGTAGCAGTGCGCCACCGGGCCGGCCCGCCTTCTCCTTAATTTTAATCTGTAGTCAGTGACTGTCTGTAATCAACATTTCTTAGCCTGCAGTGTGGGTGCACACACTGAGTAGTATTTGAAGAAAAGATTAACTTAATACTTACACAGCTTTGTCTTAAGTTCCACCTGCCAAGCTCTGGATGTTCTGTTCTGGCTGGCTTGCCTTTATCCTTTGCATATTTTCTTTCGACATTTTTATGCCATTGATAAATCAAATTTTAGCCACCAATTCCAGTGAAATATTTTATCATTTTTAGTGAAGATGGCTATAACTTTCACTACTGATATTATACACACAGGCTCCCCCTCCCCCCACAGGTATTGTGTTTAATCAGGACAAGAATTCAAGAAGAGATGAAAAAGAAATCATTGCCTAACCCAAGATCTTGAAAATTTCCATGTTTTCTTTCAAAAGCTTTATTGTTTTTACTCTTGCAGTTAAGTCTATGAGCCATTTTGAGTTGATTTTTGTGTATAGTTTGAGGTGAGAATCTAAGTTCATCTCTTGTGTATAGATGATATCCAATTGTCCCTGCACCATTTATTGAACAGACTGTCTTCTTACCAGTGAATTGCATTTGTCAAAAATCAATTGACTATAGATGTAAGGATTTATTTCTGGAAATAAAATGATCAAATGGACCTCATCAAAATTTAAAACTTTTACACTACAAAAGACACCATTGATCAAATGAAAAGACAGAGCAGATTGGGAAAAATATTTGCAAAACACAAATCTAATGAAGCTTTAGTATGCAAAATTTACAAAGAAACTCTTACAACTCAATAATAAGATGACAAACAATCCAATCAAAGAGCAAAAGATTTGGAATAGACACTTCTTCAAAGAATATGGGCAAATGGCCAAGAAGCACATGAAAAGATGTCAATATCATCAGTGATTAAGGAAATACAAATCAAAACCATAAAGAGATACCACTTTACACCCACTAGAGTGACTATAATAAAAAAGACAGTAACAAGTATCTGTGGATGTGGAGAAATTGGAATTTTCATACACTGCTGATAGGAATGTGCTGGTAAAATGTGCAGCCACTTTGGTAATACAGTTTGGCAGTTTCTCAAAAAGTTAAACATAAAACTACCATATAACATAGCAATTTCACTCCCAGGTATCTTCCAAAGGGAAATGAAAACATATGTCCTCACAAAAGCTTGCATACAAATGTTTATAGTAGCACTATTCATTATAGTCAAAAACTAAAATAGCCTAAATGTCAATCAGCTTGTGAATGGATAGAAAAAATATGATGTATCCATACAATGTAATACCATTCAGCATTAACAAGGAATAAACTACTGACACATGCTGCATCGTGAGTGAATCTCAAAAAAAAGTAGGCCAAGTAGAAGAAACCAGATGAAATAAACCACGTATTTTATGATTCCATTTACATGAAATATGCTGAAAGGAAAATTTATAGAGACAAGAAATAGATTAGTGTTTGCTTGGATCGGGGGTGGGAATGGACATTAATAGAAAATGGGCATGAGGATTCTTATTGGGGGGATGAAAACATTCTAAAACAGATTTATGGTAATGGTTTTACCACTAATTAAAGTTAACTAAAAAGCATTGACATACAGTTGAAATGGGTAAATTTTTGGATATGTAAAACATACCTCAATAAAGCTATAAAAAAAAATAACTTAGAAAGCTGCTCTGGGAAAAGACATGATCTTTGGGGTGGCACTGTTTCTCTTTCAGTTTAATATAGTCTAACTTATTGCATGTCTACTATGGGATAAGCACTGTTTCAGACCCAAGGGTAAATGGCACAGAGCTTGGAATCAGAGTCCTGGTGTTCAAATATTGCATCTGACATATGTTGGCTGAGGCTTGGGATAAGCCACTCAATTGTTCTGTCCCTTGATTTCCTCATTTGTAAAACTGAAAATAATAACACCTATTTTGCAACTTTCTTTTTTTTTTTTCCTTTTTGTCTTTTTTCCTGTCCTGCAACGGATCGCAACCCTCAGCGTTGCGCCCGTACCGGACCGAGACCGGCAACGGGATCGCAACCTTTGGTGCTGCGCCCGCACCTCGCTCAGCCAGTGAGCGGGAACCAGTCTGTATGTGGGATCCGACCCCTCCGCGGGAGCACCGCCGCGCTCCCAAGCGGCGCACTGTAGCAGTGCGCCACCGGGCCCGCCCGTATTTTGCAACTTTCTTTTTTTTTTTTTCCTTTTTGTCTTTTTTCGTGTCCTGCAACGGATCGCAACCCTCAGCGTTGCGCCCGTACCGGACCGAGACCGGCAACGGGATCGCAACCTTTGGTGCTGCGCCCGCACCTCGCTCAGCCAGTGAGCGGGAACCAGTCTGTATGTGGGATCCGAACCCTCCGCGGGAGCGCCGCCGCGCTCCCAAGCGGCGCACTGT